AGTGCAAATCCAATTGACCGCTGAGAACTAAGGAACATGGTCACTGCCAAGCGAGAGTCTTCGACTTTATCCATGTAGTAAGAGGCTGTGTAGATGTCCGCTAAGATTCCATCTACTTCTTCTTTTACCACTAGTGCATTGTACATTTCGCGGAAATTGGGATAATCTGCAGCACAGGAAATAAAGCGTTCGTCAGTTGAAGTCCGGCTATGCCACGAAAGTTATCAAGATTCAAATTAAACAATGACAGCTGCCACCAAACTGACTTAAACATAAAAATAACTGCTCAAAACAGAGAAAAGAAGGTATAAATTACACAGCGAACACAAAAGGAGACACGAATGAGCAAACTTGAAGAAGATTGAAACGAAGTGCAATAGAGAGGGGAAGTGTGACGTAACGTTGCCATGATAGCAAAATTTCTAGATCACAACCGCCATGGCGAGCTTAAGCAATGACGACGGCGACAGCATCGCGAACGACAAAGAAGCAACCGGTTTAGATTAGGAAAACAACAACGTTATACGTCCATCACGCTTTTTGTACATTCTTAGCCGTTGTCGCACGACTGCGACAGGAAACTTCCTATTTTCACGCGCCCGCTTTATGGAGTTGGGGAACACAGCGCAAAATTTTCTTTTTTCTTTTTCTACCAGATACGGTCCTCTTGGTTTCAACCCCAAACCAGAATTTTGCAAACATTTGACAAATTAAATGAAATTCAATGAGAGAAGTTTGAAACAGTCCCAATTCACTTTTTTAAGTGATGTTTTCGGTTTGTTATCATTCAGGCCCCAGTTTTTCAAAAGCTGGATAACGCTATCCACTGTATAAATCACTATCCAGCGGATAGCGCAATTGGTTTCCCTAACACTTATCCGCTGGATAGTGATTTATCCGGTGGATTCTAGTGCTATCCAACGTTTGAACAACTGGAGCCAGGAGTTTTGCTACCATGGCAACGTGCGTAACGGCTTCTCTCTATTGAGGTTGTTTGAACCCGTTAGTAGCCTTGTAGTTTTTCAAAGCTCACTTTTGTCTCCTGTAACCTTTGATATAATATTTTGTTTGAGACAGAGCTGTAATTTTGCCATTCTGTGAGATGATTTTCACTTTAACTTAGTACTGCATCTTGGACAAAATCTATGGTGTTACCATTGAAATGAAACCTCCGAGGGCAAGAACTTTTGCGTTTTGCACAATGATGCTTGATTTTCTTTTCCAACCCTCTTAGTTGGACTGATTATTTTATAAGAGTGAGAAGGTTAAAACGACTTGATACCTTTTCGTCCATGCCCGGATATAGCAACGTCTCTACTCAAACGACTTCAACCGGTATCAGGATTTGAAAACGTACCTTTGACGTTGGCAGACTGCTTCAAAGCCTCCTCGTATGCATGACTGTCTTCCAAAACTGCAACCTGGGTGAACTTCAAAAGTTAGCTGAGTATCTTAACATTACTGAACTCAATTAAGCCTAGTAAGATATAGAGGACGCTAGGGGATAGGGGATGTGTACTAGATAGCTTCAACGATGATTAACAGTTCTAGCATTTGTGAAAGAGTTTCAAACTTTGAGATAATGATAATTTACGCACATTCACGCCAGTACATTTCTTTGTTGTTTTGTTGGCATCTATGAACCTTCCTGAGATATCTTCTAAAATATTCGTTGCTGTAAGGGTGTGAGAGTTGTGCAGTTCGTCGTATATAAATAAAGAAGAATAACCTTTTATCTGTTTCGGGAATGAAGTGAAGTTAATCAATTTCCGCGACATTGTATGGAGGTTAAGGCATTGTTAATCCACTGAGTTAACACGAACGTCATGGCTTCGAATTGAATTTTGTTTAATGCCCTGATTTTTTCAGTCTCAGCCGTTTGGGAAGTTCGAGTCTAATTATAGATGCATTTCACGACTTCAGATATTATTTCCTTATTTAATCTAGCGTACTCTGCTAGCTATTAACCTAACGGCGTTTTGCATTTTCTGGTGCGAAGAGATACGATGATGAAGATGATGATGGTGCTAACCTTCACTCCCAACAGAGATTTACGATGTAGCATGGATGATGACGTCAAGGCACTTGTGAAAGTAGCGGTGAAAAACGAGCAAAGAATAAGGCCAGTAAGAATCCACAAGATGCCAAACAAACGTGCAGGCGCTGACTTTGGAGTCCTGTCACCGTACCTAATATCCAGAGAAAGAACTCTCATATATCAAAAGTTAAATATGCCAGTTTTAATAAATATTTCCAAACATGAAGATTTCATCGTGATCGTAACTAAAGACTAAAAAAACAAAGTAACCCGGGGTACACTTATCCCATGGGCTGTCTATTAAGTTCCAAGAAATGTGAAAAAGATATTTCAGAAACTAGCTAAAACCTGATTGCTGTTAAATAGCTTTTCATTGTTGTTGGCGATTTCCCCCTTCCCCTTTCGTATTTCGTTCAGCTTCGTTCGGTTTATCATTCCTGAGGAAAACAATGGACTACTCATACATGTAGTCTATACTTGAAATAATCAAATTTAAAGCATTGAGTTTCGGCGTGCCTTAACGTTAAGATTGCAAACCATTAAGCTGGATTTATAGTAGACAAGCCGTTGGTCACTTCTTTTAGCGACAGTCGAGAACTTTCATGACTATAATTAAACAGGTATCTCCCCTATCTGTTATTACCCAACTGTTGTCATGCTCACGAAAGACCACCAAATTCCCTCCATCACGCCTCGTGTGAAAGAGCGTGGAAAGTGATCAGAGTTTTTAGATGTGTCCTGTAAGTTAAAGTAACAAAAAAAATAGTTGCAAATGAGGCGATATCAATTATATATGAATTACTTTATTGAACCTTTTCTCGACTACATGGTGTCAGACGTTCCAAAAAGGAATATATATATAATATCCTCAGGAGAGCCTGGAATAATAGGACGAAGAGGGAAACGCCCAGTCTAGCCCTTGGGATATATGAATTTTAGACTTTGAGATTTTAAAACATTGTAATTCTTAGATGGAACAAAAATTTTTTTGTTTGACACTCAGGGAAATATGTATTCAGAAGTTTCAGCGCATGTACGTTTTCAGGCGATCACCATAATGTATTAATTGAACAGGTGAAATGGAAAATGTGCGTTTCAAACGTGCTTGAAATTCAATTTCAGGCAGGTTTATTAGTAATAAACCGAACCAAGTGGCGCCGACAAGTCTACACTTTTCCCTTTTCAAACGCTCGAAAAACGTTTTTGACCCCAAGGTTAAGCAAGAAGAATAGGACGCTACGATATTGGTAACGTATTAGTGTTCAATTCAGTGAAAATAGCAATATTTTACGTTATTGCTCACTTTTCCCACGTTTCTCTCAATATGTCAATACGAAGGGCTTAAAAAACAGAACTATTCGTTGAAGTTTCCCCTGGCTAGCTATTGTTGACATTTTTGGGTGCCTTTTTAAGTATGGCTGATATTAGCGGCTAAATCATAAGATCGACCTAAGGAAACTAGTTTTTAACCTGCATAATACATGTCTGTTTAAAATTTAAAGGAGGCTATTTACGGCCCATTATAATCAATTTAGATTCCCAATCCTTAGATGCGGAAGACGGCGAACTGAAAGCTTAATCTAAATCCAGAATTATTTATTCAACCCCTGTAAATGATTTCTTCTTAATGTCTTTTGCCTTAGTTTTTGGTCCCCGCGAAAATAAATATTATAACTGGCGATCCATCTGTGAAAAGAAAAATTTAATAACAACAATTTTAATCGGTTACGGCTCCAAAGAGGTGTGGGGGTGTAGTCAAATTTTTTCCCCAGCCATTCATTTGCAAATTTAATAAATGTCTATATAAAGCAGCCGATTTTGATAAGTCATCTAGCCACTATTACAAAACGCGAGTGTCCTACCAGTAAAAAGCCTCCGAGTATAACCACAAATTACTGAACATATTTCGGTGAGGGTAAAAGGCGGAATGAGTTTGCGAAATGGCATGTGGCAGGGCTTGCGGAATGACATAATTATGCGGAATGTAAAATATGGAAAATGGCTCAAAGAAATGAATTAAACTGAAAAACATGAGCTTGTCTTTGCCGCTCCTTTTTTTGGTGCCAATTTGAGTGAGCAAAGTTTTTGCTGGTCCATTTATTACTGCTGGCATAAACCAACAACGCAGAGCAGAAAGTAGCGATAAGCTTTACTGTATTCGTGTCTATGTAATACTTAATTGATACTTAAGAGGCTATCCATGAGAAAACCATGCAAAAGGTGCTACAGTGCACATCACAGAATTGGCTCAAACTTTCCATATAGGCATAACTTGGTGAAGTATAGGTAGATATGGTATTAGTTTTGTTCAAGCTTCTTTCTTTTCTTTTTTTCAGGGGGGGTACGCTTGAACAGCCAAATCTACACTGAAATATGTGCAAATTTTGTGATTTTTTGAATGACAATATTTCTGGCAAATTGTTCAGCAATCCAGGTGAAACAAAATTCTCACAAACTACTAAGTATACACTCTTAAA